AATGTTGCATTGTGTGCCAAAGGTTTGATAAAGTATATGTGATGACATTGCTTTAACTGTTCCACTTGCGCTTGTATTATGAGAGAACTATTATAACCGTATGTGTGTTGGAGTATCTTTATATTTTTATTAATAAAATTTTTTTGTTATATATATATAAATATAAAACTAATGTCATAGTTCACCTAAAAATGATGAAAATGACTTAAAAGTTAAAACCAACATTTTGAGATAAAAAACAACCCCCAAAAATCAACTGACTTCATCTATCCATGTTTGAAATGTATATCCGAGTGCAAGAAAAGTCAAAAATAGGAGTTAGAGGGTAGGCGTACATAGAGGGAGTTTGATTCTAAATTGGAGGCTAGAGCACGCGCCGGCCGGCGGTGAACCCAAATGGTGAGCCAACAGTCAAGGGTCCAACAGGGTTCGAACCTACTTTTTAGTGAATAGACCCACAACCGTTAAAGAGGTCGAAACTAATTAAAGGCCGCTGCATAGCTTTCCCAGGAATTTTCCACACTTCGCGTAAACACCTTTTTGAAAGGAAAGCAACAAGAGAAAATCTGCTCTTGCTTACTTCTCCTTTCTGTTAAAGGTGACACTGACCCACAAAATTTTTTATCAAATAAACCTCAGACAACTTATTCTATTCTTTTTTTTTTTTTTGGTGAAATAACTTATTCTATTCTTTACCCTCTCATTTTTTTAAATTTCATTCTGTATGTACCAAAATTTAAACCTGACATTAAATTTAGAGTCTCAAATACCTAGACATACTTTCAGAGTATAAATGGTAAAACAAAATATACTACCATAATTTGGAATTAACCATGATAAAGCAAAAAAATTAAAAAAAGATTCTAAAATTTCTTGCGGAATGGGATCATGTGTGTTGAGAAACTAAAATAAATCCAACTTTTGGGAAAACAAAGCTTCTTTTGTAATCAACATTGCAAAAAGAGGAATCGGACCTTTAAACCCAATAGTTCGATCCCAAACCTTAAAATGCTTGGATGAGGTGGTCGAGGTTTCGATCTCCATCACCATCTTGAAAATTCCCTTCCCCTATCCCCCAAATTATACACTGTTCAAAAAAAAAAAAAAACATTGCAAAAAGGGAATAAGGATGAAACATACATGCTTGTTGTTACGGTGAAGCAGGCTTTTAACCTACTTTGCCTATAATTATCGTTTTGTACTCTTCTTGAGGATGTTTGTCACGCCCCAACCCAAAGATCAAGACATGACAAACGCTACATATCTATAGGGATAACCCCATAAATGTGTAAGGCTACCACACCTAAACAACTTTAATAACCAAATGTAGTAAAGTTTAATTTCATAAGAAACTCCATCTTTATTAACATGTACAATAAGTAATGAAAAAAACTTGATCCCCACTTTATAAAATCCAACATAAATCTCATAGCAAAAAGTCATAGCAAATAAGCCTTTATTTCTAAATATCCCACAATCCAGAAATAACTTAAACTAAACCAAAAAACGGCTCTAGAATCGTTGTGCCTCTCACTCCCAAATGCAACCCCTAATGCTCATTCTTTTGTACCTGAAATGAGATGAGATTTTGAAAGCATAAGCTAGATGGCTCAACAAGAGTATACCCTTTTAGTTTGATCAAGCATTATATTTTAGTGGAAATAATAACTGAATAAATTAAATAACTTCACAATAAGGAAACCACATTCCAAATCAGATGAAAAAGAAAACAATAATTACAAGTTCTTTAGGCTGCATCACACTCCATATCACACTTTATGATAAATAGATCCCGGACTACTATCAATACCCTCAGTATAGTCCTGAGGAACGGGTCAAGTTAACCAGCCAACCAAGAACATGAAATCCAAGTATTAAAAATCAGTACCAATTTAATAAACCACATTCTAAAGAAAACAATCCCCGCTCACAATGCTTGATCAATACTCATCTCATTTCATTATAAAATATTTTTATTTTTAAAACGTAGTAAGCAAATAAGATTATATAAAATACATCGAAAAGGTAAAATAAATTTTAATAAAACAAACATTTTAAAAGGATACTAAAAAGTATAACAACTTATCTCAATAACTATCTTTCAGTTACAATTACCACATAACTATGTGAAACTTAAATAAATATCAAAGTAAACATAATTTAATCACAAAGTAAACATAATTTAATCACTAAATAAAAATTTATCATGTACTTATCAAACACCTATTAAAATAATTCTATAACTCATGTAATTGATATACTCTCCTTCAAACCCAAATAAATATTCCAACCCACTATTACAAACTAAGCACCTAATAAATAATTTCTCCTTTAAAAAAATTCCTCACGTCACCACCCAAATTCACAATCCTTTTATCAATACCAAAATCCATTTGCTACGGTAAAATCAATCTCCCAACCATGCTTCTACCCATTCTCTTCATTCCAAATTCCTAAATACTTCAAGTTTTAAAAGATAATTTATCTTGAATTTAGTCTAGTATGGCCAAATCCCTAAAGTTCAGTTCCCCCTCGTAGGCGAGAGAAGAAGACAATCCTGTTCGCTAGAAAAGAAAGAAAATCGAAACTGCCGAATTGAATTTGATTAACGTTTTCACAAAAAGAAAATATTGCTATTTGGACCCTAAACTTTAATTATAAGGTTTAGTCCCTAAATTCCTCACTTTATTATAATTTTAACCTCAAATTTGATCATATCACATACACAACCTCTAAAAACTTAAATAATTTATTTAAATTTTAAATAAGAAATCCTCGATATTACAATGTCGAAGATATAGAGTCCACTAATCTTCCACCCATCTACCCGACAGCTCCAGTTACGGCCACCAGGATATTATTAAGGCCAACAGTATTTTATTTTGTTAAATTATTTTTTTACCCATTTAATTTAAGAAAATACATATCTTTTTACTTTTACCTCCAATATTTTTATTTTTACTTAAACAAATAAAAAAATAATTTAACAAAACACAAAAATTTAATATTAATAACTTTAACAATATCTCTAATAACCATAATAAGTACCTACCCAACCATGACCTCAACCCTTTCTTTTCACTCTTTCTGTTCTAGCTAAACAAATAAGATAAGGGCCCACTTGGGCTACCTAAACCCTTTAAAAGAAAAAAATTGTCTTGAAAGGGATAACCAAATGCATTAAGTTTTGAACTCCACCAAGCGGCTCGATGGTCGCGCGTCTCATTGAGGTCGGTGAGCTATTCACCAGATTTAGGGATCGAATCCTCAATTGTTAACATCTGACAATACTAACTTACTATCATTGCCCTTATTAAAAAAAAAAAAAAGCATTAAGTTTTGCTCCTAACTTCAAAAAGCAAAAGGCTGACATCTCAGAGTTTGGTCCTACTCCAAATGCATACTAGTATTTTAGTATGTAATGAAAAAGATGGAATATATGAGGATAGTGGGCTAATCTAATATTTTTTATATAGACTTCAATGAGTTTCTTTCTTGTTCGCATATTGTATTTGTAAGTTGCCCCAAGCAGATCCCATGAGGATAATATAAAACAACTGGTTAGGAAGATATTTAATCAAATTATATAATATTATGTATGGAACCAAAGAATTACAGCTAGACTAGAAAAGGCATGGAATTAACAAGTAGGTGACAAAGCACAGCATGCTGTGCCCTTTTTCTTGCTCATCTTTTTGTAGCTGTGCAGGCTTTTAAGAGCGCCATGCTTACCTGTTCACTCTATCACATAAATTATTAACTTAATATACTGTTTTCCTCACAACCAGATTTGGGCACCACTTCTTTGCTACGTACTGGCTCACCTTTTTCTCAATATCTAAAGATTTATTGAAGTAAAATCGAAAAAATCATTTTGTGTTTACATTGTGTGTTCACACTTGTTCACACTTATAAATTCTATATAATTTTTATCTTTTGAACCTTTGAACTGGATCAAAACTGGATTGAAACCAGTTCAAAAATACTTCTTTTCACACCATACCAAATTTAAAAATAGAGATGATAAAATTATTACTGTACCCTCAATAATTAATATCATATCTTTTTAATATAATAATACTCATTATACCATTATATTATTTTTTTTTCTTAAATTCAATCAATCAATTTAATTTAATTCAATTCAATTATATTACCTATTTTCTTAAATTCTTATTAAAAAATATCCATTAACTTATTTTTGTATATATATGTAACTAAATTGAAAAAAAAAATTGTGTTTTACTTATTTATTTCCCTTTTTATTTTTACCTATACCATTTTTTTACCAAAGAGTCTAAATCTCATCTTTTCCGCTTCTCCACCACAAACTGAAACCCTATCTTCCTCATTGCTGCCGAATCTCCTTCCTCACCAAAGCCATGGCCGTCGTCGATCTTCATCATCTTCTCTCCTTCATTGTTGCCGAACCCCTTCCTCACCAAAGCCATGACCTTATCTTCCTCATTGCTGCTGAATCTCCTTCCACTCCGGCCATAATAATAGGCTTCGCCAGAGTACC